TCGTCCTTCCCGCTGTCGCCGCCACTGCCCGGGCCTCCCTCCTGAACCCCCGGGTCACCCCCTGCCCGGGCCCGACTCCCAGCCCCGAGGCGGCGGCGGTGGCAGCGGCGTCCGCGCCCAAATGCGACCCGGGGCGTCCGAGGGCGCAAAGGGTGCGAGCGCGGGGCGGCGGCCGGGAGGGGTGCCGGGCACGGGGCGCCACCTAGGCCGAATGACAGGTTGCCGAGGAAGCCCATTCCGGGGCAGGGCTTCGGGACATAGAGCAGGTTAATCCCTAGAAGTCCGGGAGTGAACTCCCCGCGCCGCGCTGCGGGGCTGGGTTGGAGGCGTGCAGAGACCTGTTTCTCCTTGGGGAGCGGGGGTGGAGGGGTGGGGGGCCAGGGGTAGAAGGAGGGAAGGGACCTGGACGCGAGGCCTCCAAGAGCCGCGGCTGGCGCTGACCTGGCCTTGGTTCTCTGGAAGGGACAGGAAGAAACTCTGTCCAGCCCTTGGAGGGGACAGCAGCCCCCCACCTCCCTGTGGCTTGCCTAAGAAGTGAGAGCTGGTGACCGATGATGACCCGTCTGTCTGTCTGTTTCTCCTTGACTGGGCCTGCACTCATGCGGCTCCTGGGAAGGGACAGTAGTTTGACTGGGGGGGAGGGAGGATGAGTGGGTGACCCAGGACTCCTTGTTCCCACCTCAGTGATTGACCCCATACTCTAGGCTTACCCTTGGCCCCAGACCCTCTGCCCAGAGCTCTGCCCCATCCACTGTGGGCAACCAGTGGGGAGAGACGCTCCAATATTGATCTGAGGAGCAGGAGGTGGAAAGGGGGATAGCCAACAGTGTAGTTGGGTTTCCATGGAGACGGCGGGAGAGGAAAAAATTCTCTCTGCATCAAGACCAAAGAACAAATATCTCCCGTGAAATTGCCCCTAGTGTCCAATGGCTGTGGCTATGAGGTCATTGCCGGGCCCCAGGGGGCTAGAAGGAGTGTGTTCAGTTGGGGTCACAGCTACCCAGGGCTTGGGGGACAGAGGTGATGTGGAATTCTCCCAGCTGTTCTGAGAGCAAACGACTCCAAGGCTGCCTGAAGTGGCTGTGGAGTTTTTGTTTTTTTTGGAGCCTTAATTTGATTAACACTCCAGGAACAGTGGTAGGGTGTATAGGAACCAGGGCACTACCACTGCCCCCCTAGAGGCCAGACTCCTGAGTGGGGCCCAGGGTGCAGAGCTGAGCTAGAGGAGCTGATCTGGATCTGGACTTGGGGGAGCCTGGGGCCCCTGACTGCCTAGGTTGAGAGGCTTCAAAGTGAGTCTGAGCATCAGGCGGAGCAGGAGCTGGGTTTGTGCTACCTGCTCATGGTGGAGCGAGGCAAGGAACAGAGACGGAGGTGTCTGACCCAGGTCTTCAGGGAACACAGTGACCTGGAGGGTGGAAGATCCCTCAGGAGCATTTAGTCTTGGGGTTCATTTTAAAGATGAGGAAAACTGAGGGCCTGGGAGGGGGAGATACTTGCCCTAGCTCTAAGTTGAAACCAGAAACCAAGCTCCCAGGCAGTGAACACCACAGACCCTTCCCTGAAGACATCCCAGAGTTGAGCCAGCCTGGCCCAGGTATTTTCTCCACCCACCCTCAGACACATGAAAGCCAGGAATCCTAGCCAGCCCCAGCTTTGGGTCACACAAACCATGGGGAATTCCAGCGACTCAGGTCTCGTGCCTGTGCCGTGGAGGGCGTGGTGATGAAGGACAACCTGGAAGGAGAAAGAGGTTGACAAACATGTTCTCTGCGATGGCTATGACTCAGGTCTCTGGACGACCTGCTTACCTCTGCTCTACGTTGGTTTTCCAGCCAAGGGTCTTTACTCAGCCAAGGACCAGAGGAACCAGGGGGCTTCCCAAGACCCTACCAAATCAGAGAGGCTGTAATGGGGAAGGATTACTGGGCACATTCCAAGTTTGGGCTATTTGCCTTGTATTCATCAATTTCTACTACCTACCCCGACCCCAGGCCAGCAACTGGGCCAGCTCTGGGAAAAGAGATGTCTCAACCTGGCTTCCAAGGAGCTTGAGGTCTAAGTAGAAAGACAAGCTAAGAACAAAACCACAGATGAGGTGGGACAATGTTTGTGCTAATGTTATCGGAAGAAAGAGTTGAGTGGAAGGTTGCACAATCACAGAATGGAGACTTGGTACAATCATGAGAATAATATCCATTAGAATAATTCCCAAGTCGTTATTGAAATCCTGATACTAGAATCCCATTTTACAGATGAGAAGACTGAAGATCACAGAGGGAACTACCCACAATCACTCAGCTAGTAAATGGCAGAGCCCTCTGACCCAAAAGCTGCTCCTAGAAGGAGACACTTTGGGCAAGCAGATGTCCATTCAGGCATGGCGCTTGGCACTCTGTCTATCAAGTGTGACCCATACAGGGCAAGGTGTGTGTCCTGTCTCCTCCCAGTACCTGGCATCAGGCTTCTGTGCAGTCGGGTGGCCAACTGGTTGCACGATCTAGTGCTGTCTGTTGTCTCAGAAGGGCGGGTGGCCTGGCGGGGAGACCAGGTGTCCCGCTGCGTGCAGCTGTTAGATAGGACAGAGCCTGGAGCTGGGAGGGCTCCACAGTCTGAGGCCTGGGCAAGTCCAGAGAAGCTGGAAGCTGTTGATTAAACTCAAGTCTGGCACCTGGAACAAGCTGACAGATTGTGGCAGCTCCCACCATACAGGGCTGCAGGCGTGGACTCTGCCCTCCAGGGGGCTGTCCTGCCATAGACCTGGGCTCCCCACCCTACCTCCTGGCACTGAGCTACACTGGTATTGGAAGACCTGGGTTTCAGGTGCTCCACATGCTGCATGACCTTGGGTGGGTCTTTCACGTCTGCTAGGCTATAGTCCTCAGCAGATTGTTCTGAACCTCAAATAGATGTACTGGGAAGAATTGGAGAATAGAGCTGCTAAGGTTTCATTATTGTAGCTGTCCAGAAGTAAAGGAGTGCTATAGGGCCATAGAAGAGGCACACAAAGCAAGAGTAGGGGAGTCCTTACTTTTCTCAGAGGCAACGCAGCAGAGTGACTAGGAACTGGGTCTCCAGGACAGACTGCCCAGGGTCCTTTGCCAGTGCTGCCACGTAGCAGCCAGAACCTTGGCCAGATGACTTAACTTCTCTGAGCCTCAGTTCCTCATCTGTAAAATGGTTCCCACTTGAAATCCCCCTTCCATGCCTGCTGTCATTGGTCTGGGCCTTCATGTCCCCATTTGTCAGGATGATGGGGAGAACAGGGCTCAGGGTGCTGTTCCCAAGCCCCTTTTATCCCAAACTGCTGTTTGGAGCCTATGATGTGATTACACAGATCACACAGCTAGGACCATCTCCCCATTCTGGAACCAGGACACATGCACACACACACACACACACCACCATTGAAGAGATTCACAGAGCCTGGAAGACCCAGACTAGTTCTTAGACAAAACCTGCTGGCCAGAGGCCATGTGGCTGGGGGCACCGTTTAGTGTCACTTGGGAGAGGCGAGGAGGCAGGTGTACTCCTTACTGGGTCTAACTCCCCACAGGCGTGTGTCTTCAGGCCTGTTCCCTAGCACCTGCTTGCCCAGCATGGGGAGGGGGAGGAGGGACTTCTTTGGCTGAGTGCAGAGGGAGAACTACCACTCTGGTCACAGTGTACTGGGACGCAACTGGCCCAGATGTGTAGTGCCAGCCAGGTAAAGATGTGATAGCTCTTCTCCAGGAAGTGTTCCCCGACCCCCAACTAAAAGGTCTCTTCCCACCCCTCTAAATAGTGAAAACTCTGCACTTTGGAGCTCCTCCCATGGCTCTGGGCACTAAATTATAATCCTACTGCTCAGAGATAACACTGCACTGTTCACACCCCGATTTCTCAAGTCAGCATCATTCACATTTGGAACTGGGTCATTCTCGTGAGGGCTGTCCTGTGCATCCTAGAAGTTTCACAACA